TTGGTTTTTTTGAGACAGGGTTTCTCTGTGTAGCTCTGTCTATCCTGGAACTCACTCTGTAGACCAGGCTGACCTCGAACTCACAGAGATCAGCCTGCCTCTGCCTCTGAGTGCTGGGATTAAAGGGGTGCGCCACTACCGCCCAGCCCTCCTCCCCCTTTCTCTTTCCGTCTGTCTGTCTTTCTACTTCAGAGTATTGATACAGGTGCTCAGATGACGCAGCCCATGAAACTCCTCAGCCTGCACCCCCCCTCCCAGCTAGCATCTTCCTAGCACACATCTCCTAAGGGGTTGGAGCCCTGGAAAGCTACTGATGTCTCATCTGGAGACTTCCTAAAGGGTCTTGATCACCGCTGGGTTCTCAGAGAACCTTCAGTCTGTCTTTCTGAAAATGCGCTCCATCCTGGGGATGTGATCTGACCTGGGATGCTGATGTCTCAACCTCTGGGGTTGGAATTCCTCCTGCTCAAGGAAGCCTTCCTGGAATGCACCCCACCTGAGTAGCCCCGGGTATGTATAGGAGGCCTCTCACACAAGCCCCCTTGTATGGTTATTAAGTGGGGTGCCACCAACCCAGGTACTAGATAACATGTTCTGTTCTGATCCCTTTACATAGACTTACTTACTCACTGAATCAATTGTTCACGATGGTGGCCATAGTCCCCTGTATAGGTGGGGAAACTGAGGCATACAAGTGGTCTGGTAACTTTCCCACAGCTATGTAGCCAGAGTGGGTGAGATGGGGTTCAGGTTCAACTGTCTGGATCTAGCCCTCTCTCCTTTTTCCCAGTCTCTATGATCATTGAAAGTTAATTTTGAGCTGGGCGTTGGTGGCGCACACCTTTAATCCCAGCACTCGGGAGGCAGAGGCAGGCGGATCTCTGTGAGTTCGAGACCAGCCTGGTCTACAAGAGCTAGTTCCAGGACAGCCTCCAAAGCCACAGAGAAACCCTGTCTCGAAAAACAAACAAACAAACAAACAAAAAAGTTAATTTTGTTAGTGACATGTTTTCTTAAGACCCTTTAAAAAAACTTGAGTGTGTAAGACCATGCCAGCAATCCCCTCAGGGTTGTAAATGAAATCATGACATAGCCTTCATGATATCCGTAGACAGAAGGACTTTTCCCTGGCAAGAAAAGGCTATGTCAAATAGCATAACATACTTAGCACATGCAGGGTGTCCAGTTGGTGCTCAATAAATGCTTGCTGGCATGACATTCATGTTTACTTCATGCCATCAGACTTCTCTCTGGTGCCTATACACTGTGTACCTGGTTCCTTCAAGTGTGGGGCAGGAGTCACAACTCGAAGGCCCAGGGACCTCAGAGGTGAGGAGACTCACTGGGGGACCTCACCCATGCACCCAGCTCTCACCAAAGGCATTTCTCTGTCATCTGTAAGAAAAGCCTAGTGTGCATTTTTTTTAATGGAAAACACCAAGTCCAATTTGGGGGAGGTGCTGGTAGGGCAGCCATGCACTTCTGTGGGGTTTTCTTGGGTCCTCAGCTGTTGTGTGGGGCACATAGACTGGTTTCCATGAAACTAGACTTGGCAAACTGCTCTGCCTGCCCCAGTGTTCACTGCTGGGTGTGTGTGAGAAGACGTCCCCTACAGGGGGAACTGCAGGGAGGGTAAGATGGAGGCAGAGGGCTGAGCTCCTCCCTCCTGCCTGGCTTCCAGGTGGGGGCACACAGCCTGTGCCAGTCTGGCAGTAAATATCTTATGTGCAATTTCTTCCCATGCACAGAGGCATGCTAGCCCTGTGGGGACATGCACATGCACACAGACTTATGGGTAAAACTTGTTTTCATGACTAAGGAAAAACGCCTGGGGTATTACTATAGAAGGGAGAGAGGACTCAACTGGAATGCGCCCAACTCAGAGGCAGGCACATCGGGGTCACACTCACTCACTCGTGCAATCTGCAGAAGAGGCCTAGGGTCTCCTCTTTGTTGGGTTTGTTTCTAGATCTCACAGGAAAGGAGAGTCGGGGACACAGTTGAGACAGGACACTGACTCCTCAGTCACAGCCGCCGATACTCACATCTCAGCAGGGAGGGAGGCAGAGAGAAGCATGCAAACACATCCACTCAGTTTGATGTCAAGCGCCACGGAGGCCATTCAACTGGGACAGGGAGGGAAGGCCTCCCAGCGCAGGTGTCGTGATGCATGGAGGTGTAGCCAGTCTTTGGAGTCACAGCGTGTCTTACCTGTTCTTCTTCTTCCCGCAGGCTGGGCAGGGTGCTGACAGACAGGTTGACAGCCGTGACAGTGACAAATAGAACGGACAGGCAGGCGAACACTTTGCCGGGCAGCCCTGAATGTGGCCTCTCCACCATGTCCCGCAGCTTCCTCATACAGCGGCCCAGGCGGCCCTCACTGGCGGATGGACCCTCAGTGTCTTGGTCCTCGCTGTCCAGCAGCTCCTCCTCACCCTCCCTCTCCACCATCTCCGCAAACTCCTCAATTTTCTGCAGGTACCGGCGCTTGCAGCAGCCATCCAGGTGGTCCTCGGCGATGCCCCAGTAGAGCAGCTCCTCCTGGAAGGACAGGGCACACATCTCCCGCAGCAGCCGCAGCTTGCCGGCCCGCAGGAAGGTGAGGATGGTGCCGAAGGCTCCGGGGTTTCGGTCAAAGAAGAACTCGTTGCAGGTCACATCGTAGTCGTCACACACACTCAGGATGTCGTCGAAGTTGGTGCAGGCTTTGAGCTGGCCCAGCCGCGTCAGTGGGAACTCGTCCAGCGTGGTCCATGGTAGAGAATACTTGATGCCACCCACGTTGATGATGATCTGTCGCCTGCGGTCCCCAAGTGAGCTGCCCTGGTGCAGGTCGTCCTGCGGTCGCAACCGCTGGGCCCTGCGGTAGAAGACACCCTTGATGGCCTGGCGCTGTGGGAAAAAGGCTGGGTGGAAGGAGGTGTCCGAGGCACAGCTCAGGGCACTGTAGTCATAGTCTGAGTTGTCTCCCGGTAACAGGGTCATTTTGGGACTTCACATCCCTCTTGGGCCTGGGAGGAGAAGGAGGAGAGACCCTTAGCTGAGTCCCTCACTGATTGTGGATTCTAAGGACACTTCGTTGGTCTGGGTCCCAAAGGCCACAGGTTGAAACCCTTGATTTTTCAAAATAGAATATGTTTTTTTTGTTTTATTTTAAAAATGCTGTGGGTTTTAAATATTTTTATGTATGTATATGTGCCTACTTGTCTGTACATATGGCATGTGTGCAGGTACCTAAGGAGGCCAGAAGAGGGTGTTAGGTTCCCTGGAAATGACTTATAGGTGGTTGTAAATTGTCATGTGGGTGTTGCTGATTGAATCTTGGTCCTCTGCAAGAGACACCAGTGATCTTAAACACTGAGCTATCACTCTAGTCCCCCATATATATGTTATATGTAATAACATATACAAAACTTACTATTGTGTGTGGGGGTGGATGTGTTTATGTGGTAGATCTCTCTCTCTCTCTCTCTCTCTCTCTCTCTCTCTCTCTCTGTGTGTGTGTGTGTGTGTGTGTGTGTGTGTGTGTGCAGATGCCAGAGGACAGCTTTGTGGAATTGGTTCTCTCCAGCCACTTTCACATGGGCTCTGGGGATAAAACTCAGTCACCAGGCTTGCTCCAAAGTTGCCTTTACCTGTTGAGCCATCTCACCAGCCTGAGGCTCTGACTTCTTGGTGTTGAGAATTGGAGGCAGGGGCTCTGAGGTAACTGGGGTCCTGAGGGCCAGAGTGGTTCTGGGGTTGGACTAGTGTTTAGTGTGTGATGCAGTGGAGATAGTTGAGTGAGGTAGCTGAGCCCAGGTGTATGCTGGGTAGGCATCTCTAGCCCGGCTTTTATCAGATTGGCCTAGCTGAGGACAGTTGGGCAGAGGCCAGTTGCTCCCAGGTGCAGCTGAGTTAATCCATATGGGACACGTGACAATGTCTAAGGTAGTTTTAACTGACATGTTGGGGAGTTCTAGCTTCCAGCAGAGGGGCCAGGGAGGCAGCTAACTCAACAGCCTACAGTGCCCATGACAGCCCTGTCAGTCATTTGGCCATACATCCTTCATGATTCGTAGAAAAGCCCTGGTATTGAGGTGACAGATTTTGGAGCCAGACAACCTAGGTAAGTCCCTTATCTGTGAAATGAGTTTAATCATGTAACCCACTCCAGGGATCACGAAGGACAAGGTGCCCGACTTGGGCCAGGGGCTCAATACTGGCTGGTTATTGTATTAGTGTTTATCTTAACACCTTGTATCGCTTCCACAAGCAGGAATCAGGTACATAAGAGGTAATAGACAAAGAATTGTCTGGTTACCAAAACAGGGCTTTGTTTGCTTGCCTGTTGGCAAATGTCATCTTGAGGATCCCAGGAGTGGCCAGTATAGAGCCAACATTGGCTCCTCCAGGAAGCCTTTGGTGCTTCAAAATAAATCTGGCCCAGTTTTTTGTTAGTTTGTTTAAATGTGTGTGTGTGTGTGTGTGTGTGTGTGTGTGTGTGTGTGTGCACACATAGGTGTATGTACTGTGATGTGCAGGTATATACAGATAGTGGAGGTCAGAGGTTAACCTTGGGTGTCATTTCTCAGGAGCCATCCATCTTTTTTTTTTTTTTTTGAGATGGATTCTCACTGGGATGTGGGACTTGCTGTTTCTAAACCAAGCTAGCTGACCGGCTTCTGTGTTTGCCTGTCTCCAGCTGGAACTACAATTACATGCCACCATCCCTGGCTTATTAGTCAGTGCTGTGGATTGAACTCAGATCCTCACGATGGAGCGACAAGCACTTTATTTGCTGAGCCATCTTCTTAGCCCCACTATGTATGCAGTTTTACGATTATCTGTGAGCAAGCTCGGATCCTTCTGTGTACCGTCTGCTCTCCGGGGGCGGTACCATGCCTGACTCATCCCTGGACCCCCGCACCTAGCAGTGTAAAGGCTCCAGGACCCACTCACTAGATGAGAGCGTTTACTGTGGATAAGCCAACAGCATGAGCCAATTTTAGAAAACACAGGTCAGAACATGAGCAATTACGAACTCCTTCCTTCCCAGCTTCAGGGCGAAGCGTCTGCACCCGGTGAATGAGACGGCTAACCATCTCCAGCTTGTGGGCTCAGCTTGGTTCACGAATACTTCTCATAATTAAGAAATTTCATCTAATATGTATTCACAGCCTGAATCCCAGTTGAGAAATGGCTGTGCCTTTCAGGCTGGCTCTAGTCTACCGCAGTTCCAGCTGCTCCCACTGTCTCTGCCACACCCTCTTTATTCAATCTCGTTTCCTTCCTGAATTATAGGCATCTGACCTTTCTAGAACTAAACAGATACATAGAAAAGTAGTAAAAGTTTCATATTTTGCTCCTTTCCCAGTCTCACCACGAAGCCCAAGTTGTCCTCAGAATTGTGACCCTCCCGCCTTAGTCTCAGGAGCTCTGGAATTATAGATCTGCACTATAATGCTAAGGGAACACTTAGCTTCTTAAGATCACCATCCATAGCTGGGGCTTGGTAGTGCACGCCTGTAATCCCAGCACCTGGGAGGCTGAGGCAGCAGGATTACTGAGTTGAAGGCCAGAATAGGTTATGCATTGAGACATGGTCTTTTTTTTTTTTTTAATGTTATTTAACATGAATGGGTGTTTTGTTTGCATGCATGTCCACACTGTAAGTGTGCAGTGTTCATGGAGGGGTTGGAATTATGGTCTGTTTGTGACCCGCCGTATGGGTGCTAAAAATTGAACCTGGGTCCCTGGAAGAATAGCCAGTGCTCGCAAGAGCTGAGCCATCTCTCCAGCCCTAGAGACACTGTTTGCTGTTGTTGTTGTTTTCAAGACAGGGTTTCTTTGTGTAGCCCTAGCTGTCCTGAGACTTGCTTGATAGATCTTGCTGGTCTTGAACTCAAAGATCTGCCTGCCTCTGCTTCTTGGGTGCGAGGATTAGAGTCATTCGCGATGCTTGTGGCTTTTAAAAATACATATTCTAAAAATTTTATTTTACATCTATGGGTGTTTGCTTGTATGCATGTACACGAGTGCCTGGTATAGGTAGAGGCATGAGGTCCCCTGGAACTGGAGCTACAGTTGGTTGTGAGCTGCCGTGTGGATACTGGGAATTGAATCCAGGCTCTCTGAAAGAGCAGTCAGTGCTCTGAACTGCTGAGCCACCTCTCCAGTCCATAGAGACACTGTCTTAATAAACAAACCCAAACAGCTGGAGATGTAGCTCAGTTGGTAGAGAGCCTGTCTTGCATGAAAGAAACCCTGGGTTATGCCCGGCACTGAAGAAACTGGGCATGATGGTATTCCCTGAGAACTTGAAACTTGTTGGTTGGAGGCAGGAGAGTTGTTTGTTTAAGACTGTTCTTCGCCAGTATGAACTGAAGTTCCTAGAGGGAGAGAAAAAGACAGAGAGACAGAAACAGAGGGGGAGGGGAGGCTGTACCTGTGCTAAATATTCCATGAGGCGAAATGACTGAACTTGGAAGATTATGAATTGTTAAAATGTTTCGGACCAGAACCAAATTATCTTGGGTTATTTTTAGTCCCTCTGAAAGCCATTCATTGCCCACACCCATGACTGGTCTGATCTCCTCGTGACCAGGGAGCCCTTAGAATCTATCAGACCACTTGATTTGTTGTGACGCAACTACCTGGGGCTCCCACCCCTGGATTTGGTAAATACTTTGATTTATCGTTGGTAAATCATTGGTAATTAGTTGGTAAATCATTTGGTAAAAATTGTCCTTGGTAAATATTTGATTTCTTTGTCCTGTAACTAATAATCTCACACAACCACTTCCACAGCAGAACATCGTATTTGAGGAAATGTCAGTTTGTTTTCCTGGGCCATGATCACTAAGATTTGGCTCCAGGACAAACTGTCTCTTCTCCCTTTGGAGACAAGAGAACTGGTTTTTGTCTGTTTGTCTCTTGCTGCTTGTTCGTTTTTTGTTTTTGTTTTTTTGAGACAGGGTTTCTCTGTGTAGCCCTGGCTGTTCTGGAACTCTTTCTGGCTGGCCTCAAGCTCAGAGATTTGCCTGCCTCTGCCCTTCTCCCTCTTGCACAGTGCTGGGATTAAAGGCCTGCAGCACCACAGTCCAGCAAAATCAGGCTCATAGCAAAGTAGATGCCAGTCTGAGCTACCGGAGGACCCATTTCAAAACCGAACCAAGTAAAACCATCACTCCCCCCAATTCCTGAAGGAAGCAAGTGGTCCTGGCGAAGATGATCATTTCCAGTGTCAGAGAATTCAGTGGGGATAGGGATACTTATGGAGCTCGCTCCCCTGCTGGGCTGCACAGCAGGAACCCAAGCAGGGAGGATGCTCACTTCAAGGGGTTTCTTGTGAGGGCCTTAGCGTCACTCCGCTCTCTCATCTTTGGGGAAGGCTGCAGCGTCACAGATGGAATTTTGGGAAGCTAGACTACACCTGTTTGTGGTCAAATGACTGCCTTTTAGAGCGGCTGGGAGCTTTTCACTTCTCCTAAAATTGGAACCCATGTCCTCGGGCTAAGCCTGCTGGGATCCCTCAGAGGCGTGGGAACATTCCCTTCAATAGCGCCATGCTTCTCAGCTTTGCCACTTTATTGTGCCACCACGGACAAGAGGAAAGCCGTGTTCTACTTGGCTAGAACAGCCTGGAAGCAAGGGAGCTTCCTCCGAGGCTCAGTCATGAGCCCTCTCTTCCCCAGGAGTCTCCCTTGCACTCCCCACTTGCCCTCGGGCACAGCCCCCCCCCATTAGCATCTCCTTGGGTCCCCTGCTCACAGTGGGATTCTCACATGGAGTGTCCCAGCAGGCTGTTTGCATGAGACGGTGGTGGTGGGTGAGTGCCGAGATACTTGGACGATCTCCTCTAAGCCAGAGCTCACTGGGAGGAGGGTCAAAGGAATGAGCCGCTGCAGGAGGAATCTGATAGACTTCTCTCAGGCTGTGGTTCCACTGATACCTAATCTGATGGGCACAGGGGGACGGCTGGCATTTCTAGACTTCAGAGTTAA